TGCGCCATGATTTAAAGCCATCATCAGCAGACTGCGCCATGATTTAAAGCCATCATCAGCAGACTGCGCCATGATTAGATTTAAAGCCATGATTAGATTTAAAGCCACGATCAGCCAATTGGTAAATATTTAATTTTAAATATTGGTCATGAATTTTTTTTTCCTAATTTGAATCATTTGAGGAGATTGAGGCTCAATCAATTAAAAATTGAGCTGTGTTAGAGGCTCAATCAATTAAAAATTGAGCTGTGTTAGATCTCTTATGAGGTTTTTTTTCCCTAATTTGAATCACTTGAGGAGATGGAGGCTCAATCAATTTAAAATTGAGCTGTGTTAGATCTCTTATGAGGACACTTGAAAGTAAAGGGAGGGAAACTTGGAAGTAAAAGAGAGTTAAACTCTTTCTACTCGGACCAATAAGTCATTAAGAATGTTTTCCATTGGCAAAATTTAAAACTTAAAGAACCAAATTTTTTCTATTTAGGCCAACAGGCCATTGCTATGATTGCACCATATAAAGGACTGCTATCGATGATCAGCCATGTACAAGACTTTTGAGGGATATATAGATGTTATGTTGCATTTATACTTTTGAAATTTGTAATTATAGAACTGCTAGTGTTTTAACATTTTCTTAACCAGCAGAACCTTGAAAGTGATTTTTCTTAACCTGCAGAACCTTGAAAGTGAAATGATTCAAACAGTGGGACTAGAGGGTGTCACTGCTGTGAATTCAAGTAGCTTTGGAGGTATAGTGAATTCAAGTAGCTTTGGGGAAGTGGGGATTTTACAATTGTCGCTGCAGCAACTTGAACCTTGGCTTGGGCCAAGGATTTCGGTGCACTTTGCCAGCCGAGCTGGGGCTGCAAGTGCCCTTTGCTGTCTTAATTTTTATGGGCTAACTATTTTGTTTTGAATGTGACAGCAATGGGAACCCCATTTGAGCCAGAAGGGAGGTTAAAGAAAAAGAGAGAGGAAGAACTGGATGGACTCCATAGAAACAAAAGGCCTGCAACTGCTTACACTACTCCAAGTTATCCCCTAATTAGTGGGTTTATGGCTGAGGCTCATCAGTCAGCTGCTGCACCGACTACTCAAAGATCTCTGTTCTCAACCAACGAAGGTACACAAACAAAAATGATGGAGGCTACTCATGACGAGGAGGCTTTGACCTCATCATGGGCACCTCTGCAGGTGGAGCTGAAGACATTCACTTATGATGAGCTTGGACGAGGTAGCATTGAAGAACCTAGTTTGTATTTTGTTCCGCAGGTACACATTCAGATAATAAATGCACACTCTATTATTCTATGAATTTGGTCTATTGGAGAATGACATATTTTGTGATATTAGTTTAAGCTCTCACCTTTAGTAGTCCTTATGGTATGAGCATAAAGTGTTTGCAAACAGGTATTGTAAAGCTTAATTAATTACAAGAGGCCTACAAAACAATGGATCCAAATTCTAGTTTTGGTAAATATACAGGTTTGCATTACTAATCTAGAGTAGTAGGATCGATGTCAGCTACACTTGACACACCTCTTAAGCTAGCTAGTCTGAAATGAGATGATATACACAACAGTGAGCTTAGCTTCAAGCTAAAACTGAGCAATTAAAATTATATAGTTATTAGTCAATTTTAATACATGCTAAAAACAACCTACTGAATTTAGAAGAGGAATAGAAATGCTCATGATAGATTTCTCTTACGCATAATTTAGATAATTAGCAATGTACAGATCAAGTCATGACAGTTAGCATAAGCATTTCATAACAAAATTAGGCATAAACAGAAGTTAAACATGACATGGTGTACATCAACAAAATAGATTCGCCTGTATGATTACATCACAGCCTTACACGTACCCAGAAATGGGCCCTGATTCGGCCCCAAAGCCATACATTATGCACGTGTTTTCAAAAGTGTTAAGACTATTTCATATTTTCCTTCTACTGCTCTTTATCTGAATCTTTTCATCTCTCTCTCAAATTTCAGGAGGATGCATTCCCTGATGTGGATACTTCGGATACTTTTCTTGACTTTTTGCCGGACCTTGAAACGTTCATTGTAAATTTGGAGGGTATGTATATGCTTTGCTGCATTATTTTAGTATTTTTGACATTCTTCTAATTATGGAATATTTTTGTTTTGACTTTTCCTTTAACCTACAGGATTCTCAAATGTTGCCTCCAATTGTGAGGGAGAATTGCAGTCCAGCACCATGGCATTTAGTGCAGGTGCCACGAATTCTACTGGTACTGGAGGTAGGGAGTTATTTTAGTACTGAGTTTGCCATGTCGTAATTATTTTGGTTATATCTGGAGTTAGTAATTTGGTATTACATGACCCTGTTGTCTCTCCTGCAGAGCCTCATCATGACCCTCTTGGCAAGCAAGGAGAAAGTACTGCTGCTGCTGGATACTCCAGTGATCCCACCACCCAGTACAATGAAAACTTTTAACTTTACCTTGATCCCACTTTTACGTTATTTCCTTCGGGACATGCGGGTTTTTATGTTTATGGTGGCTTATCGTAGCTATGGATTTACGTTGGTGAAGCTATTATCCAGAATGATTTGAACTTAATTACATTAACACTAATTGGGTGGTTGTGTTGAATGGGATATTTGAACTCGATGTTCATTATATAAATTACATGTTATTTAGAGTGTTATTTTTAGAGGATTACCTTTACTCTGATGCCACTTTTATGTAGTTTCTTACGGCACATGCGTGTCACATGGATGATGCACGTTTTATGTTCAAGCGGCGTATCGTAGCTATGGATTAATTATGTTGGTGCAGCAATTATCTAGAATAATGACTTAATTACATGAACACTAATTGGTGGTTCTGTTGAATGGGATGTCTGAACTTGATGTTAATTATATAAATTAGACACCAGGCGATGCATGAGTAGTTAATAATGCTTTTTAGAGTATTGTTACTAATAATCCATACTAATGTGATACAGTCTAGAAATTTGAACCTATTTTCCAAAGAAACCCACTACCACAGAAAGGAGCTCCCCATCACATTCTAACAGTAAATTTTGGCGAAAGGAGTTATAAAGGACTCTGGGTTCTCGAGTAATTCAAAAATTACCTTCTCTTCATCATCCATTCTCAAAGCCACTAAATTTTCCTCCACACCAGGAAAATAAAATGTTCGATTATTATGATTAGTCAATTTGAATTCTCCGCGGTAGAATACTGCGAAGAAACTATGTCATCTCGTCCATTTTCCATCTCCATTTTAGAAGATAAAGTCAATAAAATAACTGCCACCGTGATTAGAGAGGAAAAGAGTAACACAATCTGAAGAGTCAGGTGGAGATGCAACCGGAAACGTTTTCACATTTAATAGGCACCAAGTTTGGAAGCAAAGTGGTTTTCTTAGCGAAGGATTCCAAAAATGGAGTCTTCACCTTCTAGCATCACGCACCAACCTCCCTTTGAATAACACATTGTAACATCTTTCAATTCGTTATTAGGGACGGTCATGAAATGTTTCTTCACCGAGTAGTGGATCAATGAATAGCAAATGGTATCACCTTTTCGCCAATAGGTTAACCAAGAGAGGAGAATAATTATTGCCTTAGAGCACTTGAAGGAGCTGCCAATCTACACAATTTGTTATCAGCCCGAAAACTCATATAGTCACTTAACATTAGGCACCTTCCAATTCGACCTAACTAGTGTGTCAAAAAGAAGCTTATCATCAAAATCTCCTATCTCCTCCTCACCCGCTGCATATTTCATCACAATTTCACAACAGATTATATATTTTAAATTATAAATAATAATAATTATTAGTTATTAAATATTAACTATTAGTCATCAACGGTATCAAAACAGTTAATCTAAATATATTTTATAGTTATAATTACAAGTGGCATAGTAAACTTATAATGATGTGTGGTTATATGATTATTATTTTTTATTTAGATCCACTGTAACATTGTATGCATTCTCTTGTTTAATGTCAAGTAGGATTGTAAATTTATAAATCTAACAGTTTATGTTTTACAATTTGAACTACAAAATAGTTTTATCTTATGAAAGTGCTTTTCAATACAGATTGCACTTTTTTTTGTACAATTTAAGTACTGAAATAACCAAAATACCCTAATGGAAATGTCCTTCATATTTATTCATTTGTAATATTTTGTAATTTCAGTATCTGAACAATATAAAATTACAATTCGTATTGGAATACATTTTCTCTTATTTAATTTCATTTAACTAAATTTAATAATATTAATTAAATGGTTTAATAATATATTCTATAGTTCATGTCAAGAGGAATAATATAGAGACAATTTTTTTATAATTTTTTTATATTATTAAATAAATAAATGTACTCAATATTATAACATTTAAATAAATAAATAAATAAATTATTTAAATTAATGATATATAAAATTATATGAAAATATTGTTTTTTGAAATATTTCCCCTCATATTTCTAAATCATTTCCCATCATATCAAATGGCAAAAGACTACATGGCATAAGCTAGGAAATCATACCTTAACACGTGCTCCGTTAATTTTAACCAAATATTGATATCAGCCGTCACCAAAGGGCTGATTTTCAAGTTTGAGCGTTTACAAGCCACCATTTTTATTTGAGGGGGCTGATTTGCTACCGATTCAAGAGTACAGGAGCTGATTTACCCTTTTTGCCTTTATATAAGGCCTTATGGGGCATATGGGCCTAGACAGAATTTGTGGGCACAGAATTTGTGGGCGGAGAAGAGAGCAGTGAAGCGCCTGGATTTCTCCGGGAACACATGCCTTACAGGAAACGGCGGATATTCTTGCAGGAGATGGCGGCGGAAGAGTACGATTTGTTCGATTCTTTGCCGGATGATCTAGTCATTTCTATTCTCTCCATGCTCAGCTCCTCCGCCGGTTGTCCTTCGGATTTCGTCACCGTTCTGATGACGTACGTCAACGATTCACTGTACACGATTTTAAATTTCTGTTGTGGTTCTGTTTTAGAATAAATTTTGAATCTGATTTAAAAATTTTTTATAACAGATGCAAGAGATCAAATAGTTTGGCGCTTCATTCTCGTGTTATCCAAAGGCTCCTCGGAAATGTTACCCATTAAAGCAAAGAACTGGTCGAAGTCTGCTCACTGGTTTTTGAAACTTTGCGCCGATGCCGGAAATGCTTTGGTAAAATGAAATACACACGATTGCCTTCAGTCCCCGATCTGATCCAACAATTGCTGCTTGGCAAGAAAACGAAAATACTACCACCCAAAAAAGAATGCTCTTTGCCTTCTTCCACTCGTTCTTCCAGAAATCCAGCGTAAAAGACTCCACAGCAATGATAGCAACCAACAAAATTTAGGGTTATTTACCGAATGAAAAAGATTGAGAGAAGCAAAGAGCTAAAAACATACATAAGATTATTACTTCTAAATTAAAGAAAGTAAGAACACACTTATCTTTATAACATTAAGAAGATAAAATTTCAGTTTATGAGTCAATGGGTGTATCTAACGTATATTTTAAGTATAAATATTTTTTA